CTTAGATTCAAGTAAATACAGTAATAATAGGAAATGATCCTAAATGTCACAGTCCCACTGTGTACTTCAGGTCTTTGCAGTCCTTGATGCACAACCATCAAGCTACGTTCCAGGGCAAAGATATGGAAGTTCTAAGAATCTTGGTGTGTTAACAAAAAAAATTCAAGCAAATAAGTAAGGAAAATCACATCATAAAATAAGATACTTGCACAGACACCACTTTCTGTAGGTAACACTTGCTTGTTTTCATTTCAGCAGTAACTCAAACAGGATTTCCTCTTTCCATTTCAAATGTTGTATGATGTTAAAATGTTTAACTGACTACTAAAGCTTTTATCTATAATAGATTAGATCTTTTGACAAGTCTCTCTCTTGCTCTCTGCTGCAGTGCATTTGTGGGTACATTTTCTTTTTCCATTTTGCTACTATGTATCCTTCACTTGCTTTTATCTTCAGCTGAGGGCTCCGTTATTTACCATAGTTTGTTTACTATGTGCTAACTCATACAGACTTGTGCTCAAGATAAGGGTGTGCTCGCAATCGCCCAAAACTAATTTTCTACAAATAAAAAGGTCGGCCTCGTCACAAAATAGTTTTTGGTAATACTACATCAGAAAAATGCCTTTCAGGTGTGCACACATCATCATGTATTTTACTTTAAAAAAATAAAAATCAACAGGAGTAAACCAAAAAAAATGTAGAATTGTAATGCGCTAAATAGTCTTTAGAATTCTTAAGTCACAGTATGCAATTTATACTTGCTACTTGAACTGACAATCAGGGTTAGCTTTGCATTTGTTTCAGCCAGTATAGTTTACTCAAGAAGCCTGTGCGAGAGGCATGTAGCCATTTACATTGCACAAGTAGCACTAGAGATTTGGAAAATCCCACTGATTCCTATATTAAAGGATAATATAAACTCATTTAAGCCTGCCTGCTAATTGATGTGGGAATTGTCAAATCTTGGTTTTCTGTCCCTCTTTGGGACTCCTTACCTTTTTTACTCACAGACTGCCCTAGCTAGCCTCTGCTTAGCTTTTCACACCTCATTAAGGCTCCTTAAATTGTTATTGAGAGTATCTTGCTTCTAATTGCATTCTTAATAGGACCCATTCAGTTTCTGGGCTGCTAATAGTAGAGCAGTAGTTTTCAACCTTTTTTCATTTGTGGACACCTACATTTTTTTTTTAAGTGCAGGCCTCTTTGAATTGTAACTGTGGCTATTCACATACTTTTGATTGATCATAGTCACCTTAGACATAGTCTGAGGATCCCCAAGGGTCGGTGGACCACAGGCTGAAAACCACTGTAGTAGAGTACTCACAACAGTTAAGATGGACTAAAAGAATTAACAAATGTTAGTGCCCTCCCCCAGCAATGTTTTTATTGTTAGACAAGCCTATTGTTTAACAGCAAACCTCATTGTTAAACAAGACTGTATTATCTGAGTTAGTAGTGGAAGCTAGAAACGTTTTTATTTATGGTAACTTAGTAAACTTCCTATCATGTAGATTTAAATTTACTTCAGTTTTTAGGTTGCAGGCTTATTACTAGGAGAATGTAAAACTTTATTTCAGGCAGTTTTTTAAATTTACTATCATCTTTTCCTTTGTATGTCATATGCTCCCAAATAAGAGATGCATCTTGTTTTTCAAAGGCAGAATATAAGGAAAAAATAGATTTTTCCAGAGTCCTGTCCAAATGTGTGACAGAGTAAATCCTCCTGGAAAGTGGAAACAGAGTGTCCAGAAAGTGTAGCATCCCAGGAGATAGTTGGGAAGGAAACTATCTGATGTGTCAAGAGCCATATTGTTGCAAAAGCAATAGCAAAAACGTTACTTCTTTATTGTATATAGTTCTGTAAAGAATGAAGAGCTGTTTTTACACCACAAGCCTTATCACCTACAGACCACAAGGAGCAGCTCATCTTCTCAGAGTCGGCTCAATTGCTACTTCAGGCACAAGCTACAGCTCTCAGCCAAAAGCTACTGCAGCTGTGAGAGGGTTAACAGAGGACTCCATCAGTTTTCCTGGTGGAGATGCAGGGAAATGGGGGCCCTTTTGGCAACCAGAGTACAGTGTCTGCTTTCTTCTGTTCTTCCCTGCTTCTATTTAGTGAAGAAAAATCAGCTTCCCCACTTAAGGGGTGATTTTGGGGGAATGGCTGTATGTGGTATGTGACTAAATATATTAATACAAACTTTGAGAATAATCTTTACCTATCAGCTTCTACCACTGCTATAATATATAGTGTTCTGCTTGAAATATATACATAAAGTAAATATAATAAATTAGCACCAAACTATTTTCTGTTTAATATGAAAGAGATGGTATTCTTTTCCTAGACTAAACTTGTATTTAATATTACACCTGATTACTATGAACATGCACTTTTTTTCCAAAGCAGGTAAAGTATATCTTCTGGACATTAAAAAGAATATTTACTTTAAAAGTAATGAAATCTTTCTTTATTCTAGTTTTAAATTTGACACATGAAATAAAATTAAATTGCTTGCATCTCACTGTAGAAGCCAATGGAGTTAGACCATAAACATTTTTAAACCTTTTGTTTTCATTTCATGTTCTTTCATATTATTCAAGAAAACTGTAAAGAATATTTAATAATGATGATTTTGTGTTGCTTACATGCAACACAATGCAGCCAGTAGGTCAGACAGAAAGTAGATAATTAAAATACAAAAGGAGAGCACTGAATTAAACAGCCAAGCACACTTTCCTAAAAGCAAGATCTCATCGTAGGATGTTGCTAACTGCGACTTGGTGATAGTTGTCTAAATTCAAAAAAGTGACTAGCAATTTGGCTTCCCAATTTATGATTCTGCCCTTTTGAGGTAGCTTAGCCTGAACCCCATGCAGACCAGATAGTTAAAGCAGTCAAAATTACTAGTCACTTTTGATAATTTAAGCTGTTTCTACAGATGGAAATGGAAACAGATGTTTTGAAATTGAAACTGAACTTATTTATTCAGATATATGCACACATGCTTAAACAAACCACACCAATCCATACGCTCTAGGCACCCTGAACACAACTTGAAAATTCAACAAAATCAAAGCCCAAATATAACTAAAGTGCAGCAGCACAACTAAAACAAACACAACAAACAAACACATACTGTCAGAAAACTCAATACCAAATTAAACTTCTCCTCTTACCAGTACTTCAGTCATGTTCAAATGGCTGTTTACTTGCTTAATGCCATCAAAGTTCCCCATCACTTGGAAGATGACTGAATTCTGAATCCATGGCCTCCACATATGGCATCCACAGAAACCCCTCTTATGTGTATCAGTGGGCACACAACAATTTAAACATTTCCAAAGACCAGCTATACACTCATACAAGCCCTTTAAAATGTCACCAAAACATGCCAAAATAGTACCTCTTTAAATTAAGTACTGTCTTGAAACATATACTTTTTTATCACATGTACGGGAACAGAAAATAAGAGCCATGTTGCGGTTGAGGCTAGAGCTGGACTGATCCTCAGCCTTCCATGAAAGGCTGCTAGGACCCCACTAATGTTGGAGCCCAAATCCCCTCTGCTCTGAGGACAAAAATAAAGGTTTAGAGGCTTTGGAAGCTGTTGCCACTTGTCCACCATATTCACCTTTCTTCTCTGGCTCTCTGCTCTCCCCCCATCTTTACCACCTGACCCTGCAAGGCAGAGGAGGAAGCTGAGAGTGGAAGTTCAAGTGGCTGCAGCCTGCTCCAGTATCTGCCAGAATGCTCCAACCAGGAACAGCACAAGGATATATATGTACCTGCTTGGCTGAAGCATTTCCAAGTGTGTTTCAGTTGAAAACACATCAATTGTTATGTCTGTCCACACCTGCTTACACTTCCCATCTGACCTCTTCTGTGGTGGTATGAGAGAAATAGAAGGGCAGTTTCTCAGGCAGGCCCCAAGACGTTTACAACTGTTGACTTGACTGGGATGGCTGAGTCTGGGATGATCCTACCTTAAGTAGTGGGCTGGATTATGACCTCCTGAGATCCCTCCCAGCCCTATTTTCATGTGATCCTGCAATTCTATGTTTGGGTCAAAACAGACATCCAAAATACTATGCAACTCACAGGAAGCTACTACTACTCTTGAAGCATGGATTGAATGTGTGTTTGACATAATACTCACTCAACACTTAACAAATGAGTTGACATGCTGTACCCATCTGGACAGACCCCTGTGGAATAAATCACAATAGTCTAATCTTGAAATGACAACACATGGATGACAGTTACAAGAGTCACATCATGTCTATATTCAGTTATGGGATTGAAAAAAAAATCTCTCAGCTCCCCATGCAGAGTGCCATTAACTATATACATAACTTTTCACAACTTCTACTTTTCTGATTAGTTGACTGGCTCAAAAAGTAGGCTTCATTCAGGAGGACAAACCCTTGGGATAAGAAAGGGTTCTGAGAAACTGCCTGAGAAACTTCCCTTCTTTTTTTCCTCATACCACTACAGAGCAGCTTTTCAGATCTCCCAGACCTGATAAATCATTTCCACGGTTATTATTTAATGATTCCATATGAAAATGCAGTTGTTTTCCTTGCCTCTACAAAGCTGCTCGATCTTCTCCTGGTAGAGGTATTATGGGATTTTTATTGCCCATTATGTTCCAAAGGTTCCCATGAATGTTTGGAATTGATTTGCTTTTTCCAAGAATACCTTCCTAACAGGATAAAAGCATGTTGTTTGTAGAGGAAGAGGATAAAGTTTACTTATTTAAAGCATTCTGATTGTTTGCCTTCAAATAGACTAAATGAGTGGATGGCATTTATTACCAAATTATATGACCTTTATTAAAACTATATTTTTAATAAAAAATATTAAAAAGGCAAATCTATTATAAAATTAATAAATGTTATGATACTTGTAACAGTTTACTAGAGTGTTTACCTTTTGACTGGAAATTTAAGTTACGAGTTCCACTGTGCCAAGGACAGACCAGTCTTTTCCAGACACTTACCCTCTGACAGCATGAATAAGTCTCAGTGATGGATAGGCGGTTCGCACTTTCAATTTATTCTTAAGGATTAATGCATTAACCCACTCCACATGCTTCTCTCCGCCTTTGACCATGAAAGCAGGGATCCAAAGGACACTGTCATTCAGCATAGATAGTCTATGCACAAATTTTTCTCTGTCGCTCTCATTCCGAAAACCTCCAAATGCTCTTTGTACAACAGATGGATTCATGGTAATAAAATCAGATTTCGTTCCCACATCTGAAGCAAACTCCACCACTGGAGCTAGATTGCACCTGAAGAGGACAAAAATAAAACATAAATGATGATAACCATGAAACATTAACTTAGTTAAAATGGGTAAAAGGAAAGCTGAGAGTGAACATACATGTCTGGTTTTTTTGCTGGTAATCAATATAGAATTAAATGATATTGTATGAAGGTTGCATGGACCCACACGATGTTCTAAAAAAGTATCAGTTGTAATCAACTCAGCAATGAAGATGTTGTACAGTATATTTGAAGTTCAGATCATTAATGTTTGAATAAAAAATATCAATACCTAGACAAGCAATTATGCGTAAGAATATTGCTTCTACTATCTATTGGTTTTCGTATGTGCTTATTTGTTTGTGCTGTCTTGATAAAATTATTTGGAGTAGGTTATAGCTCAAACTCTTAATAGCAACCATGCCAATCAAATAACACATAATTTCTTATTGTTATCCATCACTTAAATATAAATTTAAAACAATATTTAACTAAAACTATATTGGTTTGGGGTTATTTGGTTGTTACTACAGCTGGTCAAAAATATATAATTTAGTATGTATATGATTTTTCATCAAAATGTAAAATTATGACAAAAAACAGGTAGTATTTATGTTTGACTTGGGGAGGGTATTGAAACTTTCCACTTTCCAAACCAAGATCTTGTTGTTAAAATTGTCAGGGACCTCATGAGTTCTCCAAGCTTAAACTTGTTCAAGCTCTTCATACCATCAGAAATGTTTTTATGGCCACAATTTTGTGTGTGTATATATGTACACATACATACACATATATAACATTTCATTTTTTGCCATTAAGCTAATCATTTGTAACACAGCCATATAAGATATACTTAATAATCTATGAATGAATTAAATTTAAACCTTTTTATGAACAAATTATATCTGCTGGCAGGGGCAGATCCAGGGGAAGTGTGGTGGTGTAGTCACACCCTCCTTTATCTGTGCTGCCTGTGAGCTCTTGGCATAGCGTCTGTCTGGAGCTCCCATTTTCATGTTTTAGAACCCAGGAACCTGGAGGGTAAATGCTGCCATCACTTTTCATCACTTCCTTTCCTCTCCTGCCAAATACAATACAAAGGTGGAGGGAGGGGAAAAAATTCACCCCCTGGGTTCTGCAGCCACAAAAAAGTAGGGGCCAAATCCTACACCAATCAGTTCATGAACTCAGAGCTACTACTCATTCAAACTCTAGCAGGAGCCCATGCTCCGTAGCCAGTATCTCATAGGTCACTGCACATGCATGGCATGGCCAAACTGTCTGTATGGAAGGAAGACTTCCCTGGGAGGGCTCCCTTCCCTCCCCTCCTCCCCTTCTTCCTTTTGCCACATTCCTGGATCTTCTGTTGTCTGTGGAAGAATAACAGAATCAATTTAATTCAGGTGCACACCAAAAACAAGACATCAAGTAGTCCACGTGCTTGGGGATCTCTTGGTGTTTCTTTGTTTTTGTCATTTTGTAACTCAACCTTTTGTTATTTTCATTGTCATTTTTTGTTGGGGAGAAACGTGGGAAATATTTTTTGTTAAAATTATAACAAAATATCTGTTATCTTGGTAACAGCACCCAGCACTGTCAAAAACCACAAGAATATGAAATAACAGTACGTGAAAAAGAAGTATCATTCCTATTTTACAATTACAGAATAGAAACATAAAGAAATTAAGTGACCTGCCCAATCTTTTCAATCTCTCTTCACTTCCAAAGGTTCTGTGTAGTTAGAAAATGGTATCTAAATGTAATTTCCTCTAGAACCTGAAAAATAATCTTCGGCAAGCCAGACTGCATGGCTAATATCTTGTGTCATCACTGATTCAGCAGTAATGTCTCTAATATAAAAGGTTATGCTTCATAATGGTGCACTTTCTTAGTCTAATGTATCTAGCAGTACATATTTAACAGGTAGGCTTGCAGTAATAAGGAGACCCAAATATAGTCCTTGGTAATGGGGTTATTCATGCACTGTTATTCCAATTCTTAGCCAAATTCAAACCTTAAAATTAGATATTCCAATTATACATAAATGGGCAGTTAAATAAATTGCATTTCCCCCCCCTCCCCCAAATATCAACTGCCTCTAGCATTGGAGTTTTGCCCTTAGGAAATACAACTAATTATTTAGGTACATATGGATTATGGATAATGAGTATAATTGTAAATATTAAGGCCTGATTAAGGCCTGATTGTTTGGTTTGGTTTTGGTGATGTGCTCCGAGCGGCTGTTGTTTCATGAAAGTATTGGGATGTCCATTAAGATAGTTTCCATTAAGATGCGACAGCAATATAGAAGTCTGATAGGAAAATTAATAGTATTACATGAAAATGCAATGTTTATCTGACTTATGCTGATTCCCTACCTATTTCAGAGTCATACAGTCAAAGAGAAGTAGGGCTGGGAGGGACCTCCAGAGGTAATTTAGTCCAACTCCCTTCCTGCAGAAGGATCATCCCTATCCAAACCATTGTATACAATCCATAAACTAAACTATACATAAAACTACCATCAACCCTGACCCAATAAGGACTTTACACCCCAATGTCTCCCCTGCCACAGGTAAAGCAGGGGGACCATGGCAGCCAACATCCTGCTTCTATAAAGTATTGATAATATATGCTCAAGAGATCCTGGCTAGAGGGGTGTACTCCCCACTACAGAGGAAGGCAACCCTGCCCCCCAGTCTATACCAAACTGACCATGGGGTAAAATTCCTTCCCGACCCCAAATATGGTAATATGTCTGACCCTTGGGGGAGGGGCAGAATCCTCTATGCAGGAACCTCCAGCTTTGGTCCGTGAAGGAGCATTGGCACACCCTAGTCAAAGTCCCTAGCCTTAGCTGTAGCCAACACCCAGTGTCTGTGAGGAAGACTTAGAAATATCTAGACACATGAAGCAGAGAGCAGGGAGGGACCCTTAACTAGAAAGGGCTATTTCCTTCAAATAATGTGATTTCAGTAATTATTGAACATAAGACATCAATGCAGATAGTTTTCTCAACTGCTTATGGCCTAGTATAGAAATAGTGCAAATACCTACAAAATCTCAAAATTAAAAAGCATGCTCTTAACAAAGAAATACATGGTAAAAGTGTTTATGGCATTCTAAATGACCTCTTCAGATTAACCACATTTTTATAATAAACTGTGCCTGCCAAGTAATTTAGGCTACCATCTAGTAAATCTGATATCAAGATTTCTTTCAGATTCTGTTTTTAAAATAATACTTGGTAGACAGATACATGTTCCAGGGATGGATATCTTATAAGAAAAATCGTTTCAATATCAGCAACTATCCACCTTGACTGAAGTTTAGAATGATGCTTAAATATTTATGCCATTCAATAAAATTGGACATAAACTATTCCCCTGGAGACATTTATTGTTTGTATGCTTCTGTTTTGATTTTTATACAAGTTTAATGTTATTTTTAGTGTCTCTGTTATTACATTATCAGCAAAATGTTCTTAGCATTTCATGAAACTGGTGCTTTCCTGTGAATTCAGCACTTTATTTGCTGAACAATAACTACCCACATCTAACTGCAATATGTTTATGCCATTAGACTTCACATATAATTATGTATTTCATTACTTTTTCTTTCTAGTTCATAAAGTAAATTTCTGCTATCAAGAATCTACAATCTGGACATTTATATTTCTTTTCTGGAAGATTCAGATTCTAAAGCATTTGGTAGCTGTAATTCTGTTTCAGACTTCTTAGTGTCTCAGATATTCACATTTGAGCCTGCATGTTGCACTTGCACACTAAGCATGTGAAAGTAATTTCCTGAATTGGTTTCTGATTTGTTTTTAGCTTTTAATGTAGTGCTTTTTTCCTGTACCATGATTACAAATGTATTTAAATAACAAGTGTATTTTCTTCATAGCCAACAAATATCTTCTACTACCTTTTCTGAACATTTTTCCATTCAAGAGAGTGCATAGGCATAGGCTTAAATTTAAGCCTGCGCTTAAGTTTTATGGAAGTCAGTGGGTCTTAAGCACACACTTGATGAGAACTGTATAATTAATTATTCTGTATCTAGAGGTTTTTTTACTGCCCAAAGGTTAAATAGTGCCCTTCAGTGGGCACAAAATAAACTTTAATTTCTCCCATGAATAAAAAGTAATATAGAAATGTCCCTGTCAGTGCCCAGCCAGAATTCATAAGGGAATAAATACTACACTGGCAGTTACTAGATTATATATTTCCCACTTGCTGCAGTATTGATATCTTCCAGCTACTTTGTCTAAAATCATTTCAAATACATTTTTCTGGTACCCCCAGATTCTCTTAAAAAATATTGCCATCACTTCAGTCACCTTGACACTAAATAGGCCTTCCCCCATCAAGGCCAAGCAGGACAAGACTTGAAAAGTTCCACAAGTCACTTAGTAAAGTTGTGAATATAAAAAGCATTCAGAAATTGTCAGCTCTGTCCTGCACTGTAGATTGACTCCAGGATGGAAGTAAACAGCTGTAAATATGAGTACTGAAACTAATTCATCACGTCTTGCAGAAACTTGCAAAACTGTCTCTACAGCTTCCTTACTGTAGACTGATGAAAGAAATGATGCAAGCAGAAACTGTTCACACAAGAACTTTACAAGAAAAGGATGTTCTGCTTCTTCCCTTGTTTTTATCTATGTAATTCTATATTGGTAGATAATTCTGGTGTTAGAAAAAGAAAAGATAAATGCTTCTATATTTTAAAAAGCAGTCTATCAACAGCTTCTTACTTTCTCCTAGCTTCCCTCACTTAGAAATGCCCCTGGCACACAACGCATGTTCTGAAATTGGTTTGATGGTATTGAGGTCTTTACCAAAAGGTAAACAGGAGGGGAAGGTTCATAGTGTATGTTGGTTGTATCCTGTCTTTTACGATTAGTTCCCTATCTAACAAAAAAGGTTACCAACGAAATTACCAATGCATATGATATGATACAATGCCATATGATTTAAGCCTTGCTCTAGTTTTTTTTTAGGATAGCAAACAATATATTTAT